GGGGGGTGTGGGGGGGGGGGGGATGCGGCCGCCCCCTCGGCGCCGGCGGGGTTTGGGAGCCGGGGTCCCGCTTCGGACTTCGCTCCCCAAACTCTTCCTTTTGCCTTAAAGCTCAGCCGTCGATGGAAGAAGCGGCACCAAGGTGGCCATTAAGAAATTGTACCGCCCCTTCCAGTCAGAACTCTTCGCCAAACGAGCCTACCGAGAGCTGCGCCTCCTGAAACACATGAAGCACGAAAACGTGAGTTGGGGGGTTAGCAGATATCCCACACACACTCCACTGTGGTCCTAACCTCCCCCCACCAACCTTTCCTATGTGGAAATGAAGCCGTGTTTCCCACAGGATATTCTAATTTGTGCGGCTGATGTTTGTAGCTAAAGGACAGACAGACATATAGACAAAAGCCAGGCACACAGGTCTTGCCCAAAGACTCCTGAATTTCATGCAGCCACACGCGTGGCTTTTCCAACTCTGCCTAATTTTCTTCCCGCTTTTAGGGTGTGGCTGCATGAAATTCAGGAGTCTTTGGGCAGGACTTGCATGAAGGTGACTGGTACACATGCCTATCTTTGGGGAGAGAGTAAGGTGTTTTTTTTTTATCATTCATGAAGCATTTGAAAGTTTTGGGGTTGTACTAATGTGAAATAGAAAGAGTTTGTGAGTGACTAAATAAACTGTTTACTGGGAAGCTGAGAATAGGATACAGGGTCTGCACAGATTCCCACATAATGCAAAAGAGCAGGCGTAGAAAGAAGAGTTGAAAGTGTTCTCAAGATAAAGACACTCAGTCCCAACAGTGTTTAGTGGTTTAAGAAAAAAAAAATAGAGGAGAGATTTGTGTGGAAACAGTTATTGGGGAATCAAAGCACGGTCTCCAGGTGAGAAGGGCCTGGGGTGGGCTTGGAGGATCACAGTAGTGGCTTTAAATGCTGTTTGTTAAGAATGCATGGGGGGGGGGGAAGTGTTTCAGAGGGAGTTGTTAAAATGATGCTTAAGAGTCTGGTTTAAAATGTTAATAATCTGGGAGGTTAGACCATAGCTCCATTCAGATGGCCTTCAAGGAAAGCTAAGAGATTGAGTGAGGGTAAGAGAAAATGATAATAATAACAGCCTGTCATTGCCATTTAATGTTATGATAATAAAATCATAAGTACCAACAATACCGGGTTCATTTTGAAGAATAATCTGTGGGACGTCTTGACTGTCTGGGGAAAAAACAAACCTTTTTGTAGGTTCAAGAACCTGTGTGCCTGTTAGCATTTTAGTCTGAATCTTTTAATACATTTGATCACGTTAACTTGATTCCTTTGGAGTAACTGCTTCATAACCACTGCTGTATATGTTAAAGAGTTAACGTTTGCAGGGAACTTCTGTGTCATGCATGGGCTTTAATACTCTCAGCATTTTCTTTAGTGAACGTTTGGGAGCAGAGCAACTCCTGCAGTTGCCAAGCTCCTAACTGTGTCCAGAATTTTGAGATTATTTTTCTTCCTTTTCCCAGAGTAATCTATTGGGTGGCGTTTTCCGCTCCTGGTGGGTTTTATGTGGTGTATGCCTCTCAGGATAGTACTCTGGAACCCCTCCATGGATTTATTTGGTAATTAAAGAGTCTAGAAGATAATACTCCCTCGGGAATGTGAGCACAATCTGTAAAAGTTAAAAATCAATATATATGAAGGAAGGGAATAATTGACAGTCTTAGGAAATAGTCTGGGCCACTGAAAGAGCAATCTGGTCTATGTACTAAGAAAAAGTTTCACCATGAATTATGGCATCTAGTCGTTAGAGAGCAAAGACTGGATAAATGATCCTGCAGGGATTTGGAGGCACCGTGGAGGCAAAAGCTGAGCGCTCCACCCGTGTACAATGAGGCTGAGATGGCAGTACAGCCCGTCAAGAAAATTTCCATCCACCTTCCCAGCCTCACACCTCTCTGTCAGTTGCTTTGCCACGGTGAATTAGGAATAGCAATGACGCCATTTAGGATTTCTAGTCCCTATGCTCATCTCGGGACACTCCTTTAGCAGCTCCACCCATCCAGAATTAAACCAGCATCACTACTCATCAGGATTTTCAGCCCCCCCTTTGACCCACTACCATGTCAAAAAGCATTGGGTTTTTTGCATATTTCTACTGAAGGATGGATTTACAGGCAGACAGTGAGGTCCTTTCCCCTTCACATCAGTGGTGCCTAGTGTGTTGTGTGCACCTTCAGTGAAATGTACAGTAGTGGCAGGACAGCTGCCTGTTCTCTGTCCTTACCATCGTGGCTTCCGAGGGTCTGGCTGTGGCATTTTGAGTGGGCCCCTCTCACGTGGGTGCATATTTCCCTATAACAGGAATTAATAGAGTAGAGCAGTGATTGAAGTATCTTTCCTGATATTTCTATATATTTGTATAAAATAGCAGTTATCTGTCTTTCTGGCTGTACTATAAATACAACTGCTATCAAAAATTAAAAAAAAAACTGAAGTAATTGTTTCAAAGAACACAATAAAATATTGATGCCAGTGTTCTCTCTGTCTTGGGTGTTGGTAATCGAAGTACATAGAGGAGGTGGTGGTGTGTGGCAGCTGGTCTAACGTTACTGCCACTATGGGTTAGACTTGGAATATTCTTGACACTTTGCACTAAACTGTCAGTACAAATCTTCATCTTGCTTTTTCCTACTTCAGGATATAAATTATTTCAAGGTTTGGTTTTTTTATTTAATAGTTAAAATTGCATCCAATTCACTCTTCTCGTCTGTTTTTCTTTTAAAATGACTTCTGTAATCATGATGCATTTGATGTTGGATTGCATGCAGAGTGTGATGTTTTGTTTGTTTCACTGTGATTACCTCTTGATGGACCGTCTCTGCCCTCCGTAGCTTTCGGGGAAGCGTTGTATTAAACATGTAGCAACACATTATCATAGTTTACTTAACCTTATGCTGTATTCAGAATGATGGAAGAAATTGTAATGGTCTGACACATCATGTTAAAAATAGCGTCTCTGATCCTCCATTAAGGTAGCAGAAGATACCATTAAACCCGTGCCACAGTGATATAATTCATCAGCATGTCATGCTTCAGTGAAGAAAACGGAGGAAAACTTCTGCTTAATACCCTGGATGACCTCCATTATAGACCCTTTGAGGAATATGCTAATCTCCTTAATGCGAAAGGGTTGAAGGATGACCAGGAGTCCTGTAAAAACAAATGTAGGAGTCATCCTACTGAATTCTATTGGAACTGTATTTTACCTTGTATGAAAGCTAACTCATGGGTCAATTTGCATGTCTATTTGGGTGTTTTCAGGAGGAGGCAACTCTGTTTGCTGGCATAACCATCTTCCATTACATATGCTAGAACTTTGTTCTCCCTAATGGCTCTCAAGGGGGACATTACTCAAATGGAGTGAGCAATATTTCTATATAAACCCTGCAAACTTGGTCGCACGGGAATTCTCATCAACCCTTTGCAAATGAATTCAGAGGACAAATGATGCTGAGGACCATGAGGCAGAGGCTCTGTGTGGAGAGGATGGGACCTGTCTTTAATGGCACTGGTATCCTTTTTTTTTTGGTAGGCTGAAATGCAGTCACAGACCCAATTTGAGAGGATCTGGGGTGTATTAAAAAAATCATAAGCTACTTCTACTGCCTAAGCAGTAGGCAGATCAATTCGTCAGACATCGCCAAAGAGAAAAGTTAGTTTCCAGTGTGATAAGCTGCTGGATCACTCAGTAGCTGCATAAACAGTTCTTCTGGCACTAGAGGGGGAATGGTGTGAAAATAAGGAATAAAACCAGTTAAGGCAGAACAAAGAAAGCACTGGGTTTGGTGGGTTGTTGTTTTTTTTTTCTTCGTTTACTCATGCTAGCTTGCAGTATACATCCCACTACAGCCTTAGCAGCTCTTGATTATTTCTTCGGCATCTGCTGTGTCTTGTATAGAAGAACAGACTGTTTATCTTTAGGAATTCTTTTTCAGTGGTGCTGCTTTTGTTCCCTGTTTTTTTTTTTCCATTTTGAGTTCAGTTGAAGTGAGGACCCTTAAAATTATCTATTATGGCTCTGGCTTAAAACCAAAACCAGTGAAAATATGGCCAGCGTGGTAGATGCATGCTTGTGTACATATGTGTATATCTTTGTATACACAGGAATTCTGATGCAATTCCATCAACTTAAATTCTGCACATGTTTCTGGCATAAAATTTTTGACAAATGCCTGTTAAATGTTTCTTGGGTCAGTTAATATTCTACAGATGTTTTCTCTTCCTGGAAACTCTTGTATGTAAGAGGCAACTGCAGTATTTGTTTAAAAGTCCTCTATATTATGCTCTCATTCCTTGCTCTGAGTGGAAATTATTCTCCGGTGTATTCCCACATCTGAGGACCAGTGTGTGTTGTGCGTTCTGTGTTATGAGAACCATGTAGTTTTTTCCACTTTTGGAAAGAACTCGGGTGTCCAGCAGACACCAAATTGCCTGTGTGTCTACAGTTACATTTCCCAGGATGATGCGGGCCTTCACTTTTAGGCTGGCTACTATTGAATTCTGGCCTTTGCTTTGAGGTTAGCTACTATTTAATTCTGTTGACTTCTTTATTTTGAAAAACATATTGGGCTTTTTATTTACACCTACACAGTATCAACCAAGGGAGGAGTTTGTTCTAGAGGAAATAGTGGGGCACTCTATGTTCCTGCCTGAGACAATCTTAAAACTGTCACCTTTTGCGGTTCATCTAGCCCCACGTGAGCACTGGAAGAGCAACAGCCTCTGCAGCGTGCAAAATGAGACCCAGAAGGGAGCTGTAGATGAGTAATGCCTTTACAGATGAAAGCAGGCTCGCTGTCTTAGAAGAGGTTTCCCGCAGGACTGCACCAGCTGCAAATTCACATCCTTTGGGTACACAAGTGCCAGTGAAGTACAATTCGGGAATCCTGGCTGGCGGTGGCAAATCTCCTTAAGAGTCCTTACGAAGGCAAAAATATAGCTATAACTGGATAGTTTATTGCTGCCAGAAGGTTGTAGGGGAGAAACACTCCTGGGTGCCTTTCTGCAGTGTGAAAGCTTAGCACAGCTAGGGAGTTGACAGGACACCAGAGTTTTTTCTTTTGGTACTCAAAAGCCACTATCAACTGTCACTTCTGCTTGTTTTTACAAACCTGTCTAATAGGTAGGTGTTTTACCTGGGCTGGGCTTCAGCTGGTAGCCATTTATTCATACCCCAACCTTGGGTACTAATGAAGCAGACTGATTAGCCTAGTCCAGTAAATGAAAATAAGGAAGACAGCACTGAAAGGTAACCCTTCTCTTTGGATTGGCATCCAATCTGGAGATGAAGGTGTGCCTGCCCACAGGATTGGGACCTGTCCAGAGTTACTTATAGGTCCTTTGAAAGCAGAGTGTGGTGATGCTCGTGGGTACGTTTTGTGCCTGCTGGTGTGCTCAGTGGCAGGAGAAAAGGAAAGGGGCCCTCTGTCCGTCAGCAGGCATCCCTCGTGTCACGTAGCAATAACCAGTGAGGAAGAAGGGAAACTGTGGTGCAAGCCTTGCGCGTGGACAGTAGCAATTTTAAAAAGGTTGAGACTTCCTAGTGTGGTAGAAGGATGCAGGTGCCCTGTGATGTGGAACAGCGCAGGAACGTGAAGTTGAAGCTAACCCTGCAGAAAATTTAATGCAGCATAATATGTAGTTCAGTGTATGCCAGTAGGAAACTCTCTTAAAAAATGTACTTTTGTTTGTAGCCCGAGTGCCAAAGCCACTCAACTTCCCTGTGTTTTCATGCGTGACATCCGCAAGAGAAAGCAGCACGTACTGTATAAGAGACATAACCTACATTACTTATTAATTTATACAAGATCCGAGTCTTCTGTTGCTGTGCTGCTGCTTACATCACAAACTTTCCTTTACAGAAATGCAGTGGAACGGCCCTTGAATAAGGAGCTCTTTGCTGTTGTGCCCTGCTGCTGGAATAGCCTTTGGAAAAGGAGGCAGCTGAGAAGGGAAGGGCAGAAACCACCTTAACAAGGCAAAGCTGTTAGTTATTGCTTGACGGTAGTTAAAGTTGGTCAGGGTGGTCAGTATCAATGTCTTCTGGGGAGGAACAATAGGGATAAGGGCTGGAGATGTTGTCACAGGCTGTACCCCTGTCCCCGTGTCCCTGTCGTCCCCCC